AAAAAAAAAAAAAAAAAAAAAAAAAGGCACTTTTCTAGGAAAGGATGGGGAACTCCCGCTGTTTTTGGAACAAATTTAAATTGGCTGTTGGGGGTCATTAAAAAAAAAAAAGTTGCTTCCAAAGGGAAAGCTGCTGTGTCAAAAAAGCGACACATGAATCTCCGGGGAAGTATTCTTAGTGGAAAAAGCCAGTTCCAAAAGATCCCACACTAGATGACTTCTGTGTGCAAATACAACATGGTTTAAAATATCACAGTTTTAGAAGTAGAGGGAAGGTTAGTGACGGCCAGAGCTTGGGAATTCAGTTATAAAGGGGCCACAGGAGGGAAAGTTCTACATAAAGACACGAACCGACGCCGGCGGTAACATTGTAGAGAAGGAACCGACGCCGGCGGTAACATTGTAGAGAAGGAACCGACGCCGGCGGTAACATTGTAGAGAAGGAACCGACGCCGCTGGTAACATTGTAGAGAAGGAACCGACGCCGCTGGTAACATTGTATAGAAGGAACCGACGCCGCTGGTAACATTGTATAGAAGGAACCGACGCCGCTGGTAACATTGTATAGAAGGAACCGACGCCGCTGGTAACATTGTATAGAAGGAACCGACGCCGCTGGTAACATTGTATAGAAGGAACCGACGCCGCTGGTAACATTGTATAGAAGGAACCGACGCCGCTNACGAACCGACGCCGGCGGTAACATTGTAGAGAAGGAACCGACGCCGGCGGTAACATTGTAGAGAAGGAACCGACGCCGCTGGTAACATTGTAGAGAAGGAACGGACGCCGCTGGTAACATTGTACAGAAGGAACCGACGCCGCCGGTAACATTGTATAGAAGTTAACACACGCGGAGGACGACGGGTAGGTCGAGGAAAGCTGAGTACCATGGGGGAGGGTATGGTATATCCCTAGCGGTAATACACGTTTCCCCTATTTTTGCGAAGTTTTGGGAAGCGACAGCGCTGGGAAGCACGGCAGGCTGAATCACTTCCTACCTCTGCACGCGACCCGCGGCGCCCTATCCGCGCTCGCGGCGCGCCCGGCTCCGCTCGCCGACTCGGCGGG